AAAATACAAGAGAAACTGAACAAATACAAAAACGATGCACACTTACTGTATTCCACTACAAGTTGTACAAACAAACGTCCAGAAATTCGTGCAGACGTACTGTGGTCCCTGCATGTGTTTCAGTAAATTTGATTGAATTTCGCATGAACATTGTAGCCAAAGGTCTTGTGACTTCTAAATGTTCATTCTAACTTCCTTTCATGGATTTACGATTTTAAGAATAAAAAATCAAGAAGAGGTCAAAAGGAACGAGTGAAATTTCTTTACAACGAAGCGAATATTTAACTTCATTCAACCAAATACAAAGAAAAGAAACATGATAGTGAGAAAGGCAGTAATAATGTACCAGGCTGTTGCAGTTGATGCACCGGCGATTCTCCTGAAGCTTCAGGAGACCGCGAATAATCCGTTCGTTCTTCTCATCCTCCTTCACTCGATTCGCCATATAGGCCAACCTACATCAATTGAGATCAATGTTAAGCAAGACAATCAACAATAAACTCCAAATAAACGAACTCAAACGGAATCTCGACATCAAAATCACTGTCTATCGAATATGTTTCACAAAACAAGTAGAGAAAACGCGAACACAACGTTTTATCCGGTGTTCAATTCAAAAGATGAATCAATTACAAGAACAGTACGTTAAAAAAGAAATCAAAGTAAATCCGAATGCACAATTGGAGAAGTCAACAATGAACGATCTCAATTACACATTTCTTTTTCAGCAATCAAACAAAACCTCAATTAAACAACGAAAAGTCCAAGAATCAAAACACAGCGGATCTGAAAAAGCAAAACCTCTCCTAGACTGAACAACACGAGTAGAATCAAAACAAAGAACGTCCATGGAAACCTAGGCAAGTAAAAAAAATTGAAACGAAAAATCCGAAACAGACCGAAATCAGCAGACAAAACACGATTATTACTTCTTCTTGTTCAACAGCAGCCTTTCAAGCTGACTAGAAAGCTCAATCGATCCACCAGCAACTTAGAAACAAAGAAAGAACGAAAAAGAAGAGAGAGGGAGAGAGGGAGAGTTGCAGATCCTTTTTCTTCAGTATCGGTAACTATGGCCTTTCTATTGTACAGCTAAGAGCTTAAAAACTCCCTTCCGCTTTTTTTGCCTTAAAATTGTTTAGAGAGAGAGAGCGGGGGGGTGGGGGGAGGATTTTGAAGGGGAGAGATGGGATGGATCTGGGATATTTTACGGTGTTTTCGGGAGTAGAGTAATTATCATGTTCCCACATTTGTCGCACGCCCGACTTCCATGGCGTTGGACTGTTAAAGTCATTTATTTTTTGTCGAAATTGCTTGCTGTGTCTGTGACAGTCCTCGAATTGGCAACTGTCGTCTAACTATTTGCCCTTCCATTTCTCTATAATTACTATTTTAGTCATTATAGCTGCGCCGTTTTTAAATAACGTAACAAACAGACCGACATGTCGGAACTTGAAGGGTTGAGATTTAGTCATTGGTGTAGTTTTAAGCCGACAAGTCGGTATTGCGTCTGGTTTCAGTGGTAACTGAAGCCCATTAAGAATCTTTTGGGCCCACGTTCCTGGTGCTTTAAGCCCATTAATTGTGGACTCGGATAGGGTCAGTTAATATAGATATAAATATCTTAACTAATTAACAAAAAAAATAATTTTAAAATATTGTATTTACTAGAAATTCCTTTACGAATTAATTTTATTTGCTTTTTTTTATTTGAATGGATAATAGTTATTTAGCAGTAAATATTTGAATGGTTGGTTGGTGTATTTTGAATGATTTCGTCAAATCAATTAAATTTTTGGCGGTCTTTTTTGTTTCAGCCCGTCTTAATTGACTCGTCCATTTTGATTGATTTTTTAAAAAATGTATTTCAATTTTAAATCATTTTTTTTTTGCTATAATTTTAATATAAAAAATGATGATCAGGTTACGTGTACAATTAAGTTTCCATTAGCAACAAAGTTATCATGGTTACAAATTAAATTAGAGAGGTCTATCAGGGGTGTACGGAGGACAAACTCTTTCCTATCTTTATTTATTTCACGATTTTTTTTTTTTTTTTTTTTT